GACGTCCCCACTCTCAGAGAAGAGGATTTTTAATTGCCGTCTTCAAACCTTTTTTTTTTTTTTTTTTTTTTTTTTTTTTTTTTTTTCCCAAGAAGAGCGTGTATACGCCGGCCAATCCTTGGGACTATTCCCTCTTCTGATCCCGAATATTCCCACTTCTGATCCCGATTCGGACAAACTGCACGTCGTTTCTCTCCAAACAAAGACAGCGACCAACGATCGACACAAGAGACAAGACAACGCAATCTGACCCCACGCACAACATGGCAATCTCATACGCAGAAGCACTGGGGAAAGGAACCGCACCCCAGAAACCAGCAAGTCCCACGTACCCGAGGAATGAACCCATCCCAGGAGGACAGCCGCACGTACAACCAAACCCAGTAACCGGAACTCAAACACACCCACTGGATGGCTCACAGAAAGGTCCACAATCTTCAACAGCGGACTCAGCGTCCAAATCACTAGGCCAAAAAGCTATGGAATTCCTCATATCCAGCATGCGGATCAAATCCAAGGTGAACATCATCAAACAGACGATCCCATCAGATGAGGGAGAAGGAGAAGAGCAAGTGGAGATTTGGGAATATCCGGAAGAGGACGAAACAAACTGTGAAGAAGTTTTTAACAAGCATGCAGTTCTCTTTAACTTTCCTCAGAAATGCCCAGACATGTCCCCAAACGAAAAAAGAACTTGGGTTGGGGACACTCTCAGGTCCCTAGAAGAAATCCCGGGCACGAAACCAGACGTCACCTACCACAAGCGAGCGCGCAACACAGTCATGATAGTTACTCCAGATAAGGCTTATGCACACTATCTGATAGCCTTAAACAGTCTCAAGTGCAGGAAAGGAGTGGTCACCGTTACAAATTGGAAACCCAGACGAGCACCGCAGCCTGATGCCTCAAGACACAGGCAAACCATGCTGCGGAATCATTTTTGGATCCAGTTTGATAACATCGCAGAAGGATTGCACGGCCTTGTGGAACACAGATTGGCAAAGGCCTACCCAAACAACCCTGTTATCGAATGGCTGGCTTCAGGTCCTGAATTCTTAGCACCCAACCATGATTCCAGGATTGCATGTCTCGAGGTTCTTTCAGGCATCCCGCCACAGTTCCCAGACACCTGGCTGTTCCAAAAATCGAATGGTCAGAAATTTACAGTATTCCTCTCCACCAAATCCAATCCACGTTGTTTCAGGTGCAGAGGGAAAGGTCATCTGGGCATAGACAGAAATTGCCCACCAACAGGGACAGAGCAGAGAAACCAGGCCAAATCCAAGCGAACCTGGTGGAGTGCGAAGCAATGTCAGGCCTGTGGTTTGTTGACGACCCCACCTACAGAGGTTGGGTCTTCGATGACAGGCTGAAAGACCCAACATGGGTGTGGACACTACAGACCGAACCATCGGTTCAACCCGACTTTTACCCTCCACATGGCAGCCAATGGCAAACAAAGGGGGCGAGGAAGATTGAGGATAAAGAAGGGGGTTTCCTGAAAAAGCCAATTCTGGACACGCAGGGGATTATGGAAGACAAACACAGGAAAGACACCCTSCAAGAACTGATCAAAACAGGCAGCTCAGCAGAAAAAGCATTCTTCGAGAACTTACAGGCAAGAGGAAAGATCCTTCAATCTTCCAAAACTCAGAACTCCTCGCAAGGCACCAAAGACTCCCAGATACCACAGAAGGAAAGCACAACCAACAACTCAAATAAGAAGCTCAAAACAAAAGCGAATCAACCCTCCCCAAACACACCGACACACAGCACATCACAAGACAAAAGCAGCAAGCCTAGAGGCCCTGTCACAGCAACTGAAGAGATGGAAGCTGAGACGGATGAAGGTCAAGGAGACAACGAAGAGGGAACAGTGGGAGATGCAGCCAACAAAGGGAACAAACAGCGAGGGACTAAGGAAGGAGGCAGTAAAGAAGGAGAAGAAATGATGAAAGAAGGAGATGAAACAGACATTCCGGAAGGAAGAGGAGAACAAGGAGAAGGAGAAGAAAAGGAGGAAGTGGACGAAAGGAAAATAGACGACAACATGTCGCAAGACTCCGCAGAGGGAGACTCTCACATGGGTACGGACCAAGACGCAACAGATGTAACAGGGGAAGAAGATCAGGAGGACTCGCTCAATTGGCTTTCGAAATATGTCAAGGGGATGGAAAGAGAAAGAGAAATTGAATTTGAAATCAGGATCGCACACAAAAAACACATCTTCAATCTGCTGAACTTCAACCCGACGCAGCAAGCGCTGAGCAATCTGTTCCCCACAGACAACCAATACGAAATCCTAGAAAAGGAACAAGAATTGTCAGACTTTTTTGCTGAACGCTACGGCCCCAAACTGGAAGAGGTAGCCAACCAAGGGTCTCACACATCGAACAGTGGGATCTGGCCCAAATCTTACAACAATACAGACTCCCAAAAACCGAGCAAGAGGCGCAAGGGGGGAAGAGGGAATGCAGAATCRAYCCCAACAGCAAGTTCTCAGGACACAGGGGACGAGGAGGATGGAGAGAACAGGCCGCTGGAGGAGAAGGAAGACCTTGACAGACAAAAGGAGATCCTCAAAGCACAAATCACGGTGCTAAGAAATCAGAACAGGGAAATATCCGATATGGCAATCAATCTGCAAAAGTTGGCAGGGGGACAAAACGCAGAAACATTCACAGCTGCCAAGCTCAAAGCCAAAAGTGGCTGCAGGAAAAGGGCGATAATCCCCTACAGATGGAACACAAATCATGGAGATTGGGAAGTAGCAATTAACAAGTCATGGGCCCTSATTGCAGTTGCCAAACCGAGCAAAAGGGCCCTGACAAACAACATCTCAGGGGATSCCCCCATGAGCGCCCACATTCTAGGTTCATGGAAAGATTGGAGAGAGGAGTGGATTGACTCRTCAGGAGATCTGACGATCTGTGACCTCAGACMCTACATGGTACAGTACTCAATGGATGCAAAGATCAAAGAACATCTYACATGGAAACCATGGAAGGTAATACAAGCAATTCCCTACGGCCTCCTAGGCGGAGATATCCCAGCAGAAAGAGCAGCGGTTGCAGCGTYGYTGGCAGAAGGACATGGACTCTTCGCAGACAACCAAGAGCAYCTGGCTCACACACTGGAGGTGGGGGCCCGAGTAGTTAAAATCCACAGCACAGAGCCCTTCGGATCCTCCCCCAACTAAGTCACCACCACAGAGAGAGATAAGGCTGGGGTCATAGCCATCCCTCCATGACATCACCTAACCACACAACCCAGGCCACACACCCAGGCCAACTGAGACACTACACCCTTAAACCGAGTGAGCCTGAGTTGACAATGATGTCATGGAATGTCAATGGCTTAGCAACAGTCTTAACTAATGAACAAAAATGGGACAACATAACCAACTACCTCAACTGGTTCTCAAGAAGTCCACCGGACATAATATGCCTACAAGAAACTCACCTATCCAACTCAATAGAACATCAAACAATGATCAACAAAATACAGACAAGATTGAAATACGTAAAAGCAAGCCAATGGGCGCCGTCCCCAAGGATCGGCTCAGCAGGTACAGCCATCCTCTGGAACGGAAACTCAAGAGCAGCCAACCAAATCAACATCATTGAGAGCAAAACAGACACAGAAAACGGAAGATGGATAGAAATCCATTTCACATACAAGGAAGAAAGCTTTCAATTAATAAACGTCTACGCACCCAATGACTCAACGCAGAGAGGAGACTTCATACAACTTATCTCAGACAAATGCAACACAMAGAAACACCTGATACTAGTAGGRGACTSGAACACTGTACTTGATCCAGYCAAAGACCGGATCTCAGCACAACGGTCWGACAGGGAAGAAGCCTCAGTAAGCGAGACTCAAGAAATGAACGCTCTCATGTTGGAAAGACAGCTAATAGAACCCCTCAGAACATTCCACCCAGAAGCGTTAAGATTTACCTTTAGGAAAAGGAACAGATCACAACACACAACAAGCTCAGCAATAGACTACTTCTTAGTTTCCGAATCCCTCAGAGGAGCAATCCACAAAGTAGGAATAGGCAAAATGCCTTACAACAACGGTCTTGATCACAACCCAACCTTCATTAATTTCCTTTTTGACCCCGGTTTACAAAAAGGCCCATCCTTTTTCAAGATTAACAACTCCATTCTAGAAACCCAACAAATGAAAGAAGCAATAGCTATAGCGTGCATAGACTCGGAGAAAAGAGGATCAGACTTCCTGTCCATAGTAGCCAACCTATCTAAAGCAGCATCCTTAGCCTCTAGGAAATTGGCAGACAAAAGGAACCGGCGCATCAAAGAATTAGAAGCAGCAGTCCGAGTAGCAGAAAGAAACCTCATTAGTAACCCAGGATAGACTTCATACGAGGACTCACTAGCCAAAGCAAGAGCAGAACTAGGCAACTGGAATTCATGGAAAGCAAAAGGAATGAGACTAAGGGCAAGAGTCAGAGAGTGGGAAGAAGGGGAGAGAATGACAAAATTCCTCTTCCAAAAAATCAAAACAAGAGGAAGAAACTCCGCCATTCACCAACTTAGAGGCGAGCATGGCCTTACTTCAGACCCAAAGAAGATGCTAGCAATAGCAGAATCCTTTTATAAAAACCTCTATACCTCTAAAACAGAACAACCCACTCCAGGTCAAGTGATAAGAGCAAGAGAAAAATTCAGCAAACACCTGTCCAAAACAATTCCAGTGGCACTAGCAGAGGAACTAGACGCTCCCATAACAAACGTAGAAATCAAAAAAGCCTTAGACTCAATGAAAACARGGAAGACCCCGGGCCAAGACGGACTGTCGAAAGAATTTTGGCAAAAATAYTGGGAACTCCTAGGGGATGAATATTGCAAATTCATAAGATCARCATGGGATTCCGATGGCTTAGGAAAATACCTTAGTACTGGAATAGTCACTCTACTATACAAAAAARGGGACCCCACAGACATCAAAAATTACCGACCAATCACATTACTAACTGTTGCATATAAGATCTTAGCCAAGCTCCTAGCAAACAGAATAAGACAGATCACCAAAAGTTGTTTCCATATAGATCAAACAGGCTTCATCCCGGGCAGATTCATATTAGACAATGTAATGACATTAGCTGAATCAGTAAGATACATTAAAGATAAAAAGTTGAATGCAGCAATCCTCTTCTTTGATTTCGAGAAAGCCTACGACCAAGTCAACTGGGACTTCCTCCAGCATTGCATGGAAAAGATGGGCGTGGGTCCAAACTTCAGGAAATGGGTTAGAGTGCTATACAACGATGCACATGGAGCAATTCAAGTAAACGGCCTCATATCCAATCTCTACAAGATGTCCAGGTCTGTAAGACAAGGTGACCCACTAGCAACTCCCATATTCCTATTTATAATGGAAGCAATAGCCTCATTCCTCAGGAAAGACCCATCTATACAACGTCTCACAAACCCTACGGAAGACCCCAACAGACCACACCACATACCACCCACGATCATGTTCGCAGATGATTTGACTGTACTCRTAAGAGCATCCAACTCCTCATTCGAGGCCCTTACYAGAGCCATGCAGGCATTTCAACTAGCTTCTGAAATGTGAATAAATTGGCAAAAAACGACGGGATGGTGGCTAACGGACGSAAGCRTTGACCTCCCTCAAAACACTCYAGAAGGCATGAAATGGTCCGACGCGAAAGACCCRTTAAGAGTCMTAGGAATCCAGATGACAGAATACGGAGCAGAGACAGAAATGTCCCCTAGCCTCCTAGCCAAGATGACAAACAAATTAAGCGACTGGGGCAAAATTCACCTCTCACTATATGGTAGAGCACTAATACTAAACTCGTCCATTTTCGCAATGATGTGGTACGTGGCAGCCTTCTGGGCACCAGATCACGGGACATTGAGAAACCTAAGAAGGAAAGCCACAACATATTTGTGGACAGGAGATGCTACCAGACAACACTTCATAACCAAAGTCGCTTGGCAGTATGTCACGAGGAAAAAGGAGCAAGGAGGACTGGGTGTACTAGACCCTAGACCCCACAACCCAAATAAAAGCTCTACAAACAAAATGGATCCTAAAGCTCATCACTAGACCTAGCTTACCATGGAGAACGTTAGCCCTAGATGGGATACAACAACTACCAATATATAACACCCCGGCTAACATGGAGGGTACCTTCTGGTTAATGAGCAAATCATGGTCAATGAAAGGGAGAAACCACAACACAATACACTCAAGAAACCAGTCCCGTTTGTGTTTCTGGAGAGGGATCCTCCGCGACTGGAGAGAGATATTCCCAGCTAAAGTCAGGAAACCGAGCAATAAGGAAGAAATACTAAGACAACCCCTATTCTGTAACCAATGGATAACCAAGAAAGAAGGAGACCCATTTACACTGACTTCTAAGGACACAAAATGGGGAGTATGGCTAGAAAAAAGGAATATGGCAGATCAAACACATATRGGACGACAACACCAGAGACTGGAAACAAAGTAACCAACTCAGACAACAGCTTAAAGGCTGCCACAGACTAAATCAGAATCTTCAAGAAATCATAGCAGCCATACCACAAGACTGGATGGTGACACTTAAAAAAGACAGACAATGGTCTGCAGGAGACTGGGCAATTTTACTGAATGAACCCCAACAGAAACACGCGCTAGCATATTGGGGTAGAGAAGAGGGCAATTCAAACTGGCACACATTTACTATGCATGAAATAGAAGAATCAGGTTCAGACTTTAGCAAGATCCTCAAAAACTCAACAGCGCAAGTTACAGTAAGGGAAGACAATCTAAGGAAGATAAGAGTTATAGAAAATGAGGAATTAACCCTTTATTGCCCCCAAATACCACCAGAAAACCTTGAAGTAGACCCAGCAGAATGGGCATGGAACATAAAGCAAGGAGCCTCAAGGATCAACACCAAATTCAACCTATTACATTACACAACTAGATTAGGCTATAGGCTGAGACGCCGTTCTGTGAACCCGGACCCAATAATAGCAGAAAGATGGAAAAGACACCTGGACGTAGAACCAGAAACACTTGACCCAATACCATGGATCAAAATAGCATCTATTAACCCGCCCAAATTTAGAAGTCTACAATGGCTAATCTTGTACCTAGCTGTCCCACTGAACCAGTGGCTAAATACACGAAGGAAAAAAGATGACAGGAGTCCCCTCAAAGAGATATGTGCCAACTGTAGGGAGAATCTAATAGAAAACCTATATCACTGTCTCCTACACTGTCCCAGAATAAAACCACTATGGCAAAAGGTAGCAAGTCTATGGAATGCAGTAACAGGCACCACCCTCACAAACAACAACACACTCCTACTCTCAGGTTTCAACAACCCAGAAAACCAGAAGCCAATAGAAATCAATTTCTTCAGAGTACTCAGAAAAGCTACACTATGGGTTATATGGCGGAAAAGATGCCAAGAAACAATAGAAGGACAAAAAATGCACACGCAAGAAGTGTGGGGACTACTCCAACAACAGGTAGAAACCGAGTACTGGACCCTAGGGCGCAAGGTACGAAGGAGAATGAAAGAAGACGAAGGCAAGGCAAAGAATCACCAATGCAAATTCGAAGAAAATTACCTAGCAAAAGGCAAAGTTGCCCTGATACACGGCTCAAGTATACTGTTTCGTCTTTGGGATGAACCCCCACCAAGACACCAGTCGCAAGACTCTTCAGTAAACAGTATACCGGAGTCCCTCGAAATTAACATTTCCACAGACTAAACCGACGTTAGGCCAGCAACAGAAACCCACCATTCCAACCAACACCGAAGAATACGGCAGAAAAGCACAGACGTGGGACATGCAAAAGGTATAGGGGAGCAAGATAGCAACCAAGACAGCGAGTAATACAATAAAGGGGCGAAGGAAATAGATAGACCATAGAATTCTCACTCAAGGGTAGTTCACAAGACATCTAAGACCAGAGGTGGACACGACACGAGCAAGAGCCTAAGTAACAGCTCCAGCAAAAGGTTAATCTGACGGCCGGCAGTGGATGCCCTCATATGCTGGCCCCCCAGTAAATCAATGCTTGCACATCAGACAGAAAACCACAGATCCTGACAGCTCGGAGTTATGGGCAGTTTGCACCGAAGGGCGGTAGAGGATGTAGGGCACTGTTTGATGCTGTGTAAAGAGGCAACCGAATACTGGGCGAGAGCTTCAGCTCTCCGGCACTCCCTCTTCATGTTCCCTCCCCCGAACAACCCATTCAATTGCTCCTCCTGGCTAACATCCCCGAACYGGCAAGGAARACAGAGAAAATCTGGTTCGATCCCACCAGGAAGTGACTCTGTGGGTCACATGAAGGGAAAAGAYGCAGCAGAACATTTGAAGGGCGGTCCAACCCACGAGAGAAGGTGTTGACAGAGACCAAAGCTACGATTCAAGCGAAGACCCCCTGCAGAGGTCAGAAGATGAACGGGAAAGGGAAAGACAGAAATTCTATAGAAGCTGGCTGGTAAATGGCA